TGAAGAAGCTGCTTCAAGAAGATCCAATAATTCTTGATAGAGTTATAGTTAATAGTTACTCTGATACTCCTTTGCACGTAGCAGCAATATTGGGACATATCGATTTTGTGAAGGAAATCTTAAGACGAAGACCTGAAATTGCACAAGAATTGAATTTATGTCAATCATCGCCTCTCCATTTGGCATCCGCTAAAGGTCATATCGAGGTAGTTAGAGTGCTGTTATCAGCTAATCGTCTAATGTGCTCAGCTCGTGATAGAAATGGTCTGACGCCTCTCCATCTGGCAGCCATCAAAGGCCGGATTGAAGTCGTGAAAGAGTTGGTTCATGCAAAACCTGATGCAGCTCGAGTGATCGTGACTCAAGGTAAGACTATTCTGCATTTGTGTGTGAAGTACTATCAGATTGAGGCCTTAAAGCTCTTAGTGAATAATATTAGAGATCAAGATTTCACAAATTGTAAAGATAGTGTTGGAAATACTATTTTACACTTGGCAGTAGCTGACAAACAAGTTGAGGTATGCCAATAGCTCTATTTTCTTCATTTTATTTTTCAAGAAATAACTGAGCTTTTCATGTCAGCTGTTTATAAATAGAATTAACCATTTGGTAGGAGGATTTAGAATCGAAAACAAAAGAGAAGCTATAATATTCTTTTGTACAATGTTAAAATATTGTATACCAAACATGTACTAATTATTTTGAAATGTCTATAGACAGTTAAATTTTTTGCTTATGGAGTCTGCAGTGGAAGTTAACTCTCAGAATCTCTATGGGATGACTGCAATGGATGTTCTGGTCCATAGTCGGATTGATGTGAGGGATGAAGAAATTGAAGAAACTCTGAAATGTGCTGGAGCATTTAAATCAACAGAAAACAATTCATTAGTCCAAATTAATCATAACATAACTAGTCCAAGCTCAAATTTGTCCTATGAACACCGAGATTTGTCCTCAAATGTGAAAAAGAACAGTAGAGAAAAGATGTTTAAACAAAAAGATGATTGGTTGGAGAAAAAACGAAGTGCATTAATGGTAGTGGCTTCTTTAATTGCAACCATGGCATTTCAAGTTGGAATCAACCCTCCGTGTGGAGTATGGCAGGATAATTATAAGGTTAACTCACATGGTCATACTATATCAGTATCCGATTCTCACAAGGCTGGAGAATCCATTTTCGCTCATAATCATCCGGAGGATTATAGACAGTTCTTGATTGCAAATACAGCAGGACTCATTGCATCACTCAGTATCATATTATTGTTGATGAGTGGTTTACCTCTAAGGAGGAGAATATTTATGTGGATTTTGATGGTGATCACTTGGATTGAAATTACAGCAGTTGCAGTGACTTATCTCTTTTCAATATCTGTTATAACACCAGAGAAAGAGAGAGAAAAACAAACAATTGTAATTTTGATTGGGTTATCACTTTATATATGGCTTGGCCTCATGGTTCTGCTTCTCATTGGACACACGATTCGATTGCTAATCAAGATGGTACGAAAGTTAATAAAATATTTGAGCCCGAAAGAAAGGATTCAAGGTTCGGGAACTACAAGTCATTGCACTGTCTAAGGTGTTGTTACGTTATGTCTAGTAAGTTGGAGTACAATGTTGAATGAATCTAAAATTTTAATCGAAAATAAATTCCTACTTATTATAGTGTCTGATCATGTTCTGTACTATAAATAGAAAAATGCCTTAAATGCTCGCACTATAAATATTTAATGTATGACTATGTTGTAATTTTGTTACAATTATTGCTTATCAGATAAAATATGTGTAATACACAAATATAATCTTATGCTAATTCTTTAATCATATATAATTTCTCCCCATGTGTTCAGTAATCTTGATTGAAAACTTTAGCTACTAGAGAATTATCACACTTGGTTATTTAACCTTATTTTAATATATGGACAGAATGTAAGTGTTATGCCCTATGTCCAATCAATCTTGGACATAAATACTTTTAATATATAATTAATGCAATTTAATGGTAGAACTATATATAATTAATATACAATTAAATTAAATAATAGAGTCCGTAAATTCAAATTTTCGTAATTTGTTAATCACAAGAAGTTGTGATTGTGAGATACAAATTACATATAATTGAATCTTAAATTGTCTGTGGTCATAAGTAATAACGAGATATAGATATCATTATTACGGTTAAACTATCACATGTGACATTTCTTATTTGTGATGTAAGTAGCTGATCTCACAAGTTAAAGTGTGGTGACACTTGAATTAACACGTGGATATTTTGTTATAAAACAAAACATTGGAGATCCACCTAGAGATTCCACATGGATAACTATTTGAGTGTCAATGGTTAATCTCTAATGTTCGGTAGTGGAATTGGTCCTTTGACTTGAGGTCGTCATAGTACCTTATATGAAGATAGTCATGCTTTGACGGTGTTGGATGCTGCTCTGTTGAGGGTCGCTAATACGGCATCGTTTGGGTATGTCAAGAATCGTATGAATGTTATGAATGACCAATAGAGGATTTGTCACTCTTAGATAGTAAGAGATTATAATCTGTATCTCATTCAATTAAGTTGATAACGAAATCCTTGGCCAAGGTATACTCATAAGTTGAAAAGGAGTTTTCGACTTATATTAACTTAATAGTGGAGTGAAAGATATGATCGATAATCGAGATTGACATGTTTCCATATCTCGTAATTGATCGGATCATATTAACAAAGGGATTAAGTTTTACGTTAAACGAATGAGTTTGGTTTTGTCATACCAGGTGACATTTCCCATCATATGTTTTGCCCTGGTACATTGTTAGATGTCAATCTGAGATGGCGAGTGTGAATTGATGATAAATTAAAAATGTGTTTTAATTTATCAATTTTGAGTAGATCAAAATAATATTTCACTTCGTTAGATATCGTAATCGAGAACCTGATATGTCGCACACAAAAGGAGAACTGAAAGATTCTGATTTATCGATTAATTAATTTAACAAGGATTGTATAAATTAACTAATTGGGCTGCTTAGTTATAGGCACAAATTAATTAATTGAATTAATTAATTCACGAACCAGATTTAATTAAATGGATTAATTAAATATTGAACCGGTCAGGTCAAGTCTATTTAGGCTTATATAAATAAGTTATTAGGGTTTATAATTTTATAGAGAATTCATTCTTGTTGGCACAAGAGGAGAAAATTATAATCCTACAATTTTGTTCTCTGTGTGGCTCACCATTGGAGGCTGAATAATTGAACAGCTATGGTTGGCAGATCAAGATATTTGGAACGAAAGAAAAGCAAAGGAGTTTGCAGATCTAGAAAAATGTATGACTTTTATCACAAATTTTTATCTAAACACAAAGACGATTCCTGGTGGGAATTGAAAATTGTTTTATTTTCGGTGCGCATGTTAAGTAGATTCCCAACATAGAGGTGGTCTTGAGGGTGCACGAATTGAGTGATCGCACCGAGCCTCAGCATTGTAGTGACACCAAAAAGACAAATAATGATTCTTATTTAGGATTATTATTTTTTGTTCCTAATTGCATATCATACCAAGATATTTTTATTAAAGCATGGAGAAAGGATTCTCATGGTTTAGGCTACTTCGTAGCTTATTTCGATGAGTAGTGCTTCACAATTTTCATTTACGGATTATTTATTTATGGATTATAGGCATTTGGCTTGGTGTGATATGCAATTGCATAAGGCACTAAAGCTAAGAATAATGTGACTTACTAGTTATATAATTTTCTTAAATAGTATCTTACCTTAAATAATGTGAGGGGTAAGGGAAGAGAGTAAAAAGTATCATGTCTTAAATATAATTTTCTTGATTCCTAAAATCTGGGATCTTGTTTCATTATCACTGCTTTATGGTATGTGGATCTTTTCAATGCCCGTTAAAATCTTAAGGTGATGGCAAATTATATTCTTTTCAAGTTTGATATGTACATCTTGATAAATTAGAAAAAGCCTTTGTTGAATTCTATTTATTTAGGATTTAGTAGCTATGATTATGTGGTATGATATATTGTATGTTGCTAACTTGATTAGTAAATGCATACACTCTAATGATTTGCTTATTGACATTGCTATTGAGGAAGAAAAAGGGTTGATTGCTTTTTTATTTTTTAATACTGACAGACACACACACACACAGAGGAAAATTGGATTCAATTATGTGATAAATATTTCTAAATAAATTGTCATTTAAATAAAAATTAATCCTTTTTTTCAAGTGAAAGGTATAATTTGTAGGAAGAAACATTTTGATAAAATGTCACTGTAGAGGATGCACAATTACCTACCGAAGGTTTGATCAATTAACTTATATGAAAAATGTTTGGGATTTATTGTGACAAGTTAAAGTCATTGGATGATACTAACTTGAAAGCATTTTTTGATCATGTTCACATTATTCTAAGACATGTAAATTTGTACGATCTTTATGACGAAGATTCGTTTTAAAAGTTAAAAATTTTGCAAAATCTCTTATCAAAAGAAACAAAGACGGCTCTTGATATATTGACTTGTTTGAAAAGATTGAATTGTTTTTCGAATACGTTTATTACTTATAAAATATTATTGACGATTCCTATTATTGTTGTAGCAGTCAGAAGAAATTTTTTAAAATTGAAGTTATTAAAATCGCATTTCATATTACAAGAATGATTGAATGTCTTAGCTTTGATATCTATTGAATATGATTTGCTAGAATATGTTGATCATTACAAAAATTTGATTATTGAGTTTGCTTCTAAAAATGCAAGAAGAACTATTTTTACATGATTTTCTATATTTCAAGGTTCATAGGTGGCATTTACTATTTTTGATTTCAAGGTTTGCGGCTTATCTGAAATTACATGAAAAGGTTAGTGGTTTGGATGGTTATTTGTTGACGATATGTAAATTTTGATGAAGTTCAAGAGGTGCTTTTGAGCTCTACTTGTACTTTCTTATTCACGATAAGTAAAAAACTAATCAAATATTTCAACATTTTATTTTTGTAATGAAATAATATTATTGAAATATTATTTTTTTAATATAGTTTTTTAGTTACCTAAAGGGAGCCATTATAAAAGTCTGTAAATCTAAGGCCTGCCCTGTACATAGACGACATCAATATTTGAGCCTAGGTCCTTTATCATATTAAATCACCTCATTTAAAAGTTTAAACTTTTATATGAGGTGGTTCAACAATAAAACATCTCACCTTGAACTTGAAGATTTCAAGCTTTGAATTGACCATCAATATCTCTTTCTCATTCTTATTCTCGTGATATTTGTTCATTATCCATATTGTAATTTATATAAAATCATGTTAGGCTAAATCCTTGTTTGTATTAGATGAAAATGAACTTTATTTGTTTTAATTCGAGACAATTAGTTTAATAATTCTTATTTTTCTTGATTAATCTTGCATTCCCGTTGCGGTATTTAATTGCTTAACCATCAATTAGATAATTAGTTGCTATTGTAGTGGTGAAAAGCTCACAATTAAGTTTAGAACGCTACAAGCTTAACACACGGTGAATAGATGTTAAGAATAACATATATCTCGTGTGCAGTCATTTAGATAATCATAAAATTGAGTGCATTCTACTCATTCGAATTTAGACTAAGAATAGGATCAAATTGAGTATAAAATATATTTGATTTATTTCAACATTATTGATTGTCAAGAATGCATTAATAAAACTGGAGTACATAGTTAAGAATTGAAACATAATAGGCTGATTTGAAAATTCAAAACAATTATCCATTCATTTATACAAACAAAACCATTTGCTTATTTCGTAGAATAATTTAGAATAAATAACAAAATCATATCTTTCTTCATTTTTCTATTTTTCATTTATTTTTATTGTTAACAAAATCATATCTTTTGTGTTATATAATTTGGATTCAATACAAACTAGTACACTTGAATTAAAATTTATTTCTCGTGGGACGATACTCAATTCTTCAGTCATTCCTTGTCAACAATTTCACATGCTTGTGAAAATTGCCTGAATGTTTCACATTATAATTAGAAATTCGTTCAGGAATTTATTGGAATTGAATTCATTCATATATCAATCTTAATATTTATGATGCAAAATATACCAAGATGCTGCTACCAACCTCGAGTCCTACTTTTCGGTGACCTATTCCAGGCTTTATCAAATTCATTCTCATTATAAAGAAAACAATCTACTTGAACTTTACTTAATAAAGTTGCAAGGAAATTGAGACGAATAAAATAGAGAAATGGGCTATTGATAATAAATAATCTTGCCATATCAAATTTGAAATGATTAAAAAATGAATTAACCTTTCTAAATTTGTGAGCAATTCAATATTAGGTATATTTTTGGTAATTTCTATTAAAATTGGCCATTTTCATAATAGCTAATTATATTCGTATTATAATTTTTAGTTGTCGCATCATATTTTAATGATAATGGGGTTCTTAACATTTGCTTGTTATCTGAAAAATTGTTGGGAATTTGTATACTTAGTCTTCCTTTAATTAGCTTATGTTGCCATTGATGACAATAGATAGATTGGAAGTCATCAAAAAAAACTTATATGTCCATTTTTATGCAGAGAAAAAAAGTAGTTT